GTACACTTGATGATTGATGACATGTGGTCCCTAGACAAACCACAAATCCATGTATTGCACACCACTCTCTATATCCAGTATTAGTAGATTCCGGATTGTTTAGGGTTTAGAGCAGCAATGGGCAAACTACGGCCCGCGGGCCGTATACGGCCCGGCGGACCTTTTAATCCGGCCCGCGGAGCTAGGCTCCCGCTAGGCTCCTCTCACAGACCGCCCTGAAGACCGGTGTAGCATGAAAATCTGTCTCCTATGAGGATCTGTCCCCCTCGACGTATCTGCGCATGTGCCGGAGATCGCCGATCGGCTGCTAATACCTGAAACTGGCACATGCGCAGATACGTCGAGGGGAACAGATCCTCATAGGAGACAGACTTTCATGCTACACCGGAACGGCGCGGCAACATGGCGAGAGGAACGCGCGGAGCAAAGGTAAGTGAATTGACACAGGGGGGACTTAATATGGGGAATGAATTACTATAGGGGGGATGAATTACTATATGGGGGATGAATTACTATGGGGGATGAATTACTATATGGGGGATGAATTACTATATGGGGGATGAATTACTATGGGGGATGAATTACAATGGGGGATGAATTACATATGGGGGATGAGTTACTATATGGGGGATGAATTACTATATGGGGGATGAATTACTATGGGGGATGAATTACTATGGGGGATGAATTACTATATGGGGGATGAATTACTATGGGGGATGAATTACTATGGGGGATGAATTACTATATGGGGGATGAATTACTATATGGGGGATGAATTACTATGGGGGATGAATTACTATATGGGGGATGAATTACTATGGGGGATGAATTACTATGGGGGATGAATTACTATATGGGGGATGAATTACTACGGGGGATGAATTACTACGGGGGATGAATTACTATGGGGGATGAATTACTATGGGGGATGAATTACTATATGGGGGATGAATTACTATGGGGGATGAATTACTATATGGGGGATGAATTACTATATGGGGGATTAATTACTATGCTTACTATGGGGGAATATTACTATACTTACTATGGATGACACATACACATCATTCATCTACTCTTGGTCCGGCCCCCGGGTCCAATATATGAACCCATTGCGGCCCTCAAGTCAAAAAGTTTGCCCACCCCTGGTTTAGAGTCACTCTTTTATATCTATCAATAAAATAGACCAAAAAGATCCTCAGTTTGTTCAAAAACCATATACACCTTTGAAACACAGTGCTTAGTTAATAAGCCATACATGTAGGCCATTTGGTTTCCAGGCTGGGATGAAAAACTACTACAGGTAGCTGTTACCCATCCTGAACTGTTACTAGGATGCTCTAACCATTTGACATTTCAACATTAACTTTGCAGGAGTAAGCATTCTCTTGCAAAAAACACATTCTTACTTTTTTATGCAAACTGTAACTAATTGACATTGAGAGAGCATTGTCACTTTATAACAAGATGGGGCTCAAAACAAGGATTTTGATTGCAGAATTACCAGGTATTATTTCAATGGAAGATTCAGACTTAAAATGATTGGAAATTACTTTTAGAATTACATTAACATGTTGAAGTGGATTCTTGAAATTAAAATTTGCTAGGAGGTAGCATTTTTTGGTAGAAGACACATGCAAAGTATCTTCTCCCAAAAAATGACTTGTCTGTTGTAACAATTTTTTATTTTGTAGGTATACTACAAAATAGGTTTAGTAGGTTTAGTCCAGCATTTGTACCAGGATGCCAGATACCAGGGACAATGTAACTTCTGTAACAATGCAGTACCCGGCAAAAGCAGAAGAGAAGATGGAGGAAGTGGGGGACAGGGCAGTTACTGCGAACCTGGACATGCCAGTGTTTGAAGAGGGCACTCTACTACGTACAGTAAGTGTGCCATAATGTGTAGGAATGCTGTGCATATACACACTTTATGGCTAAAATTCAGGGTAAGGAATCTTTAAAAATAAAGGCTTGGGCTAGTACTGCTCAGAAGAGTGAGGGTAAAAGAATAAGAAAACTTTTCTTAAATGTTTCCTTATTGCAGCACTATCCCCTTAAGGGCCGCTGAGTATTTTTGGGTTCCCTGTCTGTCCTGCTGGTACCACCATAAACCTTTGACCAGGAGGACCCCTTGGCCTGGAACCATAAAATAAAAAGACACAGTTTAGGGTGAACAAGTATTATGGTTACATTGAGGTCAGAATAATAACTGTGCAAGCACAACAAAAACATACCAGTAGATGAGCATGAAATAAGAGTTAAATGGTCTAAAAGGTTCAACAAGGTATTGTAACACAGTATCACTTTAAACAACTCTCAAATGTCCTTCAGGATCAGAATTTAACATCAGCCCCAGCCTCTGGGATGTCTCTACCCAAGTGAGCTGGGAGGAACTATCAATCTGTCAGACTAACTCACTTTTGGGCTCTCAGTTGCTGGTAACTGGGTTTAACTATATAGGTGAAATCTTTGATGAAAAGCAACAATGTCCCTTTTTGTATCTCTTTTAGCAAAAGTGTCCAATCTTCTGTGCACTCGATGGGGCCCTGGTTGGTGCACATTAAGGCTCAGATCTTTTCTTGTATGAAAGCAAGTTTCCTTCAAGATGGTATTGTTTCAGAAAAAGAAGACTCCTCCTTGAGGTGATGTTGAATTTAAGTGAAATCTCTTCAATACTAAGTAGGAAGGAAAAGATTTGCTAAGGTTGTAAAAAGGGATGGTCTGGATCTCCAGCATCTTGCACAGCTTCTCCACACACCTGTTCTCTGCCCTCACCATCCACTTCCTTCCTGTAAGGTTCCAGGGCTTCTGAATATATATATGCTCCCATCCCTTTGCCAGCTCTTCTGGGAAATGTAGTCTGTTTACTACATGTCTGATCACAAAGATCCTGCTACAACAAGGCTTTTCTTCAACAGAGTCTGCATAGCTGAACCGCAGAACACTGCCATCTTGTGTTCACTTAACATCCTGCAACCAATATTATTGCAGGGTGTTACATTATTAAAATATTTTTCTCTCTTTATATGTTATCTTACCTAATTGTATTATTTTTTTTGTGCTTGTTTGAGAATTATTAATACTGTGTGAGAATTTTTTTTCTTTATACTTACATTAATTTGGTAGAGTTTTAAAAGACAACAAAATAAAAATAAACTTTATTTCAGTTGCAAGTAACACCATGATATTTTGTACAATCAGCAACTTCATTTTAGTGATGAAATAAATTGGAAATAAAACACATACATTCAAAATATGAAGAAAAATTATTATTGAACAATGCTACCAAAATCCTTGTTTTTGCTCCTAAAAAATATATATATCACTTTGGTACCAAACTATAACTAATGTCAAAGATATTCCTAAATCAATAGAATGTAGCTGTGATATAAAAATTTGTCTGGCCAAAAAGGGGTAAACAACCATTAGTCTCGAAGTGGTTAAAATGACAATTTTCCAAATAAATTACTTTTCATTATTTCATTTCTCATCTCGCCTATATATAATGGGGAAGTTTTACGTTGAAAATCTCTTTGTCATTAGAAGAATTTAACATAGGAGCACAAGGCACTCTATTGATTTAAGATGGTGTCCGAGCGTAGGAACCAGGGACCTCTCTATGATTCTGATTGGAACCATAATTTAAAATATAATAGGAGGTTTGTGAAGCCATTTGCTTTTTCAGGTTAATGGGCTTTTGTTGAACAGTGAAGGGAAAAAGATAACTCTTCCAGGCAGTTTTAAGAAGTTTAAAAGGATTTCTAATCATAGGCTTCCATTGAATTATTACGGTTGGTTAATTAGCTGGGGATGTGTCATTGTTTGAGAGGGAGAGGTGGGACCAGGAGATGAGATGCTTTACAGAACATGGCAAAGATTTCACAATGGAATTATCTAAGGAATGATGAGGGCGAACGAACTAAAGATAAATGGATATTAATGTGTGGCAAGCTTTGATTTACACTTATAATGGAAATCTAAACCATGTGAAGATTCTCAGCTGTACAATAATGGCATTCAAAATTCACCATTTATCATGTAAATCTATTTCCACAATCATGAAATATTGCACAGCGTCTTCCAAAGGTAACTGAATAACAATTTTTTTATCAGAATATTTTACTCCCAGATCAAGTCAGTGCTATAACGTGGTATAACTAACAGAACAAACTTTAATGTATGTTGCCTAAATATAATTTCCACAAGTTGTTATAACAGTGCAGCCTCATGTCTCAAACAAAAGTGTGTGTATATATTCACTTCTACTCCCTTTGAGCCAGAGCAGAGTCAACCCAATGTCAGGCTGTAGGACCTGTTATGAAGGCTCACCTGTCTAACACCAGAATGATAACTGACACTCTGATCAAGTGTCTGGAGAGGGTAAAACTGTTGATTAGCCAAACTTTTAGGGCCTGTATCTACTGCATTTTTTTTTTTTCACAATAGATAGGTTTTGTATATCCATACAGGTCAATGGAAAAGCAAAACCCACTTGAAGCAGGTTACTGTAGGTCAGAAGGAAATCAACTGTATGTCAAACACACCTGACAAATACTCTTAACCACTTGCCTACCGGGCACTTTTACCCCCTTCCTGCCCAGGCCAATTTTCACCTTTCAGCGCTGTTGCACTTTAACCTCCCTAGTGGTCTGATTATGTCAGTATTTATGTGCTCAAAGCGGTACATTGTTTTCAATGGAAATATGTTGTTTTTTTATTGTAAGCCTGTAATTCTTAGGAATAACTCACTGAAATCTGTCCGAGTCTAGTAAACATCCCGGGAATGATAAAATTTGAAACACAAAATCATAAATTATAATATAATAAATAATCATAAAAAATAATAATATAATAATAATACATTTTATTCAATAATGTAATCAAACCAAAAACACTGAAATTGAAATAGAGCGCAAAGTTTGCACATCACTGAGCTTAGTCGCAGAATAGATTTCAGTGTCTGATGACAAATTTCCCCACGAATCATTATGACCCAATTCTTCAAGTGATTCTAATTTACTATCACTGTTCTCTAGCTGGTCTAAAACCGCTTTTGACCTAAAGGGACGCTTTTTGGACGTCATGGACTTTTCTAAGTTTCTAGGCAGAAAGAACGGTAAAAATGCAGGCAGGGCACAGGACAAAGCACTAGGGACAAAATGTATGTGAAATGGTTTGATACAGTAATGGAATACTATCAGATTTTAGTGTATTATGTGTATGTAAAATTTTGACATTTTTTAATCTCCCGCCGGTTCAATCCCCCCGTACGTCCCGACGCTCGCAGGGAATGGAACCTGGAAGACGGATGCCGGCATCGGCCGGAGGACATGGCCAGGGACGGTGCAGGGGGGACATCGCAGGAGCGCAGGACAAGGTAAGTGATCCAGGAATCCCAGAGCAACGCTGCAGTGTAATCCTGAGTGTAGCTCGGGGTTATCACTTCTGGTACTGGAACTTAACATCGAGCTACACTAGGGAATACTGCCACGTGGGTTAAATGACTATTGCCATGCAATACTGTTCCCATATTCCATTTTATCATTTTTTTCACACAAATAGAGATTTCTTTTGGTGGTATTTAATCACCACTTGTTTTTTTTTTTATTTTTTGCGTTATAAATGAAAAAAGACCAACAATTTTGAAAGAAAATGTGTTTTTCTTTGTTTCTGTTATAACATTTTGCAAATAAATAATCTTTCTACACAAATTTAGGCTAAAATATATTCTGCTACATGTCTTTAGTGAAAATAACCCCAAATCATTGTTTATTATTTAGTTGGTAGGAAAGTTATAGAGTTCACAAACTATGGTATATATATCTAAAAATTGATAAATTCTGATGTTCAGACGGCTGATCTCATTTCTTGAGGCCCTAAAATGCCAGGACAGTACAAATACTCCAAAAATTACCACTTTTCAGAAATTAGACAGTCTGAGGTATTTAGGAAGAGACATGGCGAGTTTTTTGAAGTTGTCATTTTGTCATAATTTTGTGGAAAATGAAGAAATTTAAAAAAATATATTTTTTTTTTACATACTCTCACCAATCCAATAAGTGTCATCATATAACTGGTGTGGCAGTGACACTGACACTGACTGGTGACAGTTTGTAAAAATAAATAAATAAATAAATATATTTTTTTTCTTTCATTTTTAAACATTTTTATTTTTTACTTTTTTTTTCTACTCCTGTGACCAGAGCATTACAATGATACCATAATAACTTTGTACTACTCTGGCCAAGTGATCAGGATTTTTTTTTTTGTAATAATGTAATTATGATTGCTTATACCAACAAATTACATTCGTATAAGCAAGCGTGTTTACTGAATGAAACTGATTCATTCAGTAGTTTTTGTTGTGATCAGTTGTGATTGGCCATAGCTGATCACATGCTACAGATGGGCTGTGATTGGCCCAGTCTGTGCATGTGATCACTGTGACCAATCACAGCTCATAGCACAGTGAATGGTATGTAAAGAAGCCATTCATTGTTTACAACTGTCATGTGATCTGCTGTGTTTGGTCACAGCAATCACATGACACTGGTAGTGGGTGTTGTGATCTTTCATCAGCTGTGTCCCATGGAGCACCTCCCGATCCTGAGAGGACATCATATGATGTCCTCCCAGGATAATAGGGTTCCTGCTCAGCTGTCATTGTACAATAGGCTGGGTGGAAAGGAATTAATGATCTCAGAAACACCTCAAACCAATGTGAAACTCATTCCATTGACAGAAGCCCAAAGAACATTGACTAAGACACTTAAACTGGCCATACTTGGGTCAGTTTTTTCATCTATCCAGCGGCTTGAACAAACAAACTGATGCGATTCCCCCATTCACACATTCAACGGGAATGGGGTGATCCTTCCTGCTGCACTGTTGTATTCTGACAGTGGGGGAGACTCCCCTGCTGTCACCATATACAAATCGGATTTTATTCAACAGGGCGGTTGAACAGAATCCAATTGGTAGATTGACTTCTATTCAACCACAGTGACCATACATGGATAAAAACTTGCCCGGTCCCTGTTTAACTGGCCAAATTTCAATCCATATATGGCCAGTTTTAGTCTACTTAAACTTTAGTCTACTCATAGCACCTTTGTTATAAGACTGATTTTCGGTGTCAGCAAATGGGGCTCAGACAGGAGATAGGATGGCCTTATAGAAAAACTAAAGAATGTTTGAGAGATCAGGCTGAACTATTGTGACAATTAAGTCATTTAAAAAATAAGATTATTTAAAAGGTGTAACTTCAAGTGCTATACTTGTTTAAAGCAAGAAGGGAGAGTTTCAAATATAGTGGGTTAATGATCCCTTGTACTGTGCATTTTTGTCATATTGCCCAGATTGGACTACATGCAACAATAAATGGGAAAATGTAGGCAATATATGATCTGACCATCATTTATCATTACTACTCACTAGGACAGTCACTCTGTACTAAAATACAGTATGCCATATACTCATGACAGTTACATCTGACACATGCATAGTGAAATGTCAATGATCAAAAATCATGGCTTGCTGGAAAGTCTTTTTGGAATAAATGTTCCATATCTTGCTAAATGCCCTATGAGTTATGTGACTATAGCAAACTCCGTTTGAATCAGATAGGGCACCTTGGACAGGCCAGTCTTTAACAAATTTTACAATACACGAATATAGTCATTATGACAAATCTGAACTATAAGGATGCCTGAGGGACAGTAGAAGCCATTGTGTGAGATACTGCATGAGAAGCACCCTGTGACCAGATATTCTTCCTTACTTGTTTGATATAAAAATGGATATTGCACGGCAATACATTGATTCATTTCTGTAATTCAATTATATCATATATGTTAAAGTTGGAAGACTCCAATATTCAGAGTCATTAATAAATACAAAGTTTATAGGAGTCTTGTGAGTCTCACTGCAACAGAATACAGGAATCGACAGGGGCATGAAGCACGGACGTTTTGCTACACAGCATTCTTAAACTAGTTAGAGGTGAGAGATAAGTGATATGGTCCATCAGTTCTGTGCAGGGGCAGACTGACCATTTAGAAACTCGGGCACTGCCCGAGGGCCCGGGGTCAGTAGGGGACCCCATGAGATGCCCCTGGTACCTTTTTCATAGGCATTTTTGAGTTTGGGCAAGGACACAGGGGCCCCATGATCCCCTATTGCCCAGGGGCCCAATGAGTTGTCAGTCCGCCCCTGGTTCTGTTGCAAATAACTGGAAAAAAAAAAACAAAACAAGTATACAATTGACCCTTAGCTATCAATATAATTTGTAATCCAAAATCTCAAATCAACCCCCAAAACATAACTATCAATTTGAATTAGACTCTTGACCTAACACTTTGGTGGATATTTACTAAAAATAGTGCACTCAGAATGTGGGGCAGCTGTGCATGGTAGCCAATCAGCTTCTAACTTCAGCTTGTTTAATTAAAGGGTATTAGCAGAATGTAAGAAAACCTCAGTATATGTTGGAAGCTGTGCATGCTCAGAGAGGATTCCCTGCATTTTGAAGGGGTTTCTTCTCGCTTCCTAAGGGGCAGAAATTACTGGGAAATCACCCAAATGGGTCAATGATAGCAAAATAATAATGAAAAAAAAAAACAGGACTTAAAGTATTCTTACTTTTTCAAAAATTATACAAAGAACTTTGGATTTAGATATACTTTCTGCAGATTTCACATGAAAACCACTTATCCTGACACAAGCATAACAGCATATACATGAATGGGTATAGGCTGCAACCCCCGCCCAGTCCCAGGATCGGTTATACTATATAAATGAGTCACCTTCCCAATGGCGACAGTCTCCTTTTTTCCCTCAGTGCTCAGCCAGTTATGAAACTGTTTTGGTTTTTTTTTGTCAAATTATTTTTATTACCGTATATACTCGAGTATAAGCCAAGTTTTTCAGCACATTTTTTGTGCTGAAAAATGGCCCCCTCGGCTTATGCTCGAGTCAACGTCTGCAGGGGGCTGCTGTCTCTTACCTGGCTGCGGTCCCACGACGATCCGGTCCAGGAAGCGCGGCTGCTCCTTCATTCGGTTCGTCCACTGGATGTTCGCGCGGCTGCTCGGCTCCGCCTTCTCACCGGTGATTGGCCACCAGAACTGTAGCTCAGGAAAGGCACACAGGCTGCCAATCACCGGCGAGGAGGCGGAGCTGAGCGGCCCCACGAAAATCGAGTGAAGGAGATGCAGGTAAGTGTGCCGTGCTTAGGTGCTGCTGCAACCACATATGCTGGCTGCAGCAGCACCATACTGGAACAGGGGTCAGCAAGTGTCAGTGGGAGGAATAGTGCCCCATCATTGGTGTCACTGATACCAACGATGGGGCATTATTCCTCCCACTGACACCAACGATGGGGCACTTTTCCTCCCCCCACTGACACCAATGATTGGATACTATTCCCCCCCCCCCCACTGACACCAATGATGGGGCACTATTCCACCCCCCACTGACACCAATCATGGAGCACTATTCCACCCCCCACTGACACCAATCATGGGATACTATTCCTCCCCCCCACTGACACCAACAATGGGGCACTTTTCCTCCCCCCCACTGACACCAACGATGGGGCACTATTCCTCCACCCCCCCACTGACACCAATGATGGGATACTATTCCTCCCACTGACACCAATGTTGGGACACTATTCCTCCCACTGACACCAATGATGGGACACTATTCCTCCCACTGACACCAAAGATGGGGCACTATTCCACTGACACCAATAATGGGGTGCTATTCCCCCCACTGATACTAATGATGGGGCACTATTCCTGCCACTGATACCAATGATGGGGCACTATTCCTCCCACTGACACCAATGATGGGGCGCTATTCCTCCCACTGACACCAATGATGGGGCACCATTCCTCCCACTGTACCAATGATGGGGCACTATTCCTCCCACTGACACCAATGATGGGGCACTATTCCTCCCACTGATACCAATGATGGGGCACTATTCCTCCCACTGATACCAATGATGGGGCACTATTCCTCCCACTGATACCAATGATGGGGCACTATTCCTCCCACTGACACCAATTATGGGGCACTATTCCTCCCACTGATACCAATGATGAGGCACGATTCTTCCCACTAGTGTTCCCACCCTCAGCTTATACTCGAGTCAATAGTTTTTCCCAGTTTTTTGTGGTAAAATTAGGTACCTCAGCTTATATTCGGGTCGGCTTATACTCGAGTATATACAGTACATTTTTTACATATGCATATAACAACACATACAAAAACAGTAAAATAACAAAAAGAACTTCAAGTGAATTTCCAATTGACTTAACCAGTTCTATACAAAACTGAAACACCTCCCAAGC